CCCCCCCAAATATAAAATTATTATATAAAAATTTGTTCATAAAAACTGTATGTCAATGAAAAGGTAAATCTTTTTAGGGTAATAGTTTTCTTGTGCAATTTTTAAGGTAAAAAATTACTGAATAGGTTCTGCGTATATTGTACTCGTTCTTTTTAATAAAAATAAATGTTTTTTTTTAGATTGTTGGATCTCTGGATCTGATATTAGGTCAGTTTTTATCTGCGTTCTGTTGCTTGATTAATCTATTTGTATGGATTTGTTATTGTATTGACTTTTTATTCATGTATGTTAGGTTGGATTTCATTTCTCTGTTTTGCTTCTTTGGATTACAGCTGGGAATTTACTGTACTGCTCTGGGATATACAAAAAGATATCATTTTATGGGTGAAATTGGAATTTTGAAAAGAATTTGGGGGGCGTTTATGAATTAATAGTCTAATAGAGGGAAATTGATAAAAAAAGATCAAGTTTTTATGCTCTCTAAATAGCTCAAATTAGACTATGGTATAGTCTTAGAAGTTATAACGTGGTGCTGGTTTTAGCTTTGTCTTTTGGATAACTAGAGTATATAAGGGAGGGGCGCTCCCATCTGCCTAAGTCTTGGTGGACAGTATTACCCGGTATCCGTATTGGTGGGAGGTAACACGTCCTCGATGGAATAGTCGAGGTGGACGTACCTCGCCTAGACACCACTGTCATTAAAGAAGAAGAATTAATTAATAAGGGAGAGGCACTCCCATTTGCCTAAGTCTTGGTGGGCAGTATTACTTGGTATTCATACTGGTGGGAGAAAACAAGTACCTGATGGAATAGTCGAGGTGCACGCAGCTGGCCTAGACACCACCGTCATTTAGACATAATAAGGGAGGGGTGCTCCAGTGGAAAGTGTTGGGGTTGGAGGGTAACACACTTCGTGTGAGCCCCTCATCCTTCCCCATGTGGTGAGGGATCAAATCCCACCAATGTAATATTCCCCTCCCCGTCCCCCTAAATAGTAATGATTTTTTTTACTAAAACAGAGAGCGCCTTCCAGCCCCCACCTCCAACCTTTGGGTCGGGGGTTCGAGTCACCAACCAAGGGAGTAAAAGTGGGGAAGGATCACTGTTGACTCTTGGGTATATGGGTTGGGTGTAGTATAGATGATGGTTACCATATTCATTAGTAATTAAAAAAGAAAAGAAAGTTGGAGTTGGATTCATACTTTCTCTTTGATTGCTTTTTGATGTAAGGTTTTGCTATCAGCTTCATGAAAATATAACCAATAGTTTGCACATGTTCTGAATGTTTAAAAGCATTTTGTAGGCACGTCAAGTCAACAGGGTCTTGACAAGATTTTCAAGTTCAGCTGCTGTTGCAACCAAGCCATCTGGGGGGCTTTTTAGTTGGCTAACTGGTGAAAAGTCAAGTCAACAGCCTCCTTTGGACTTCCCCCTCAATGATGTTAAACTCTCAACACCATTACCTGATTATGTTGAACCTGGAAAGACCCAGATAACAACTCTCGCCAATGGTCTCAAAGTGGCCTCTGAAACATCAGTGGTATGAGCTACTCTATATTTTTTTTTTTTATATGTATAATCGAATGAATGTTGGATTATCTTTCCTGCAATTTCTAATAATGGTTCTGATTTATTGATCCAGAACCCTGCTGCCTCAATCGGCCTATATGTTGACTGTGGCTCTATTTACGAGACACCAGCTTCATATGGAGCCACACACCTTTTGGAACGCATGGCCTTCAAAAGCACATTGAACAGGAGCCACTTGCGTATTGTACGAGAAATTGAAGCAATTGGTGGTAATGTAACAGCTTCAGCCTCACGAGAGCATATGATCTACACTTACGATGCTTTGAAAACTTATGTACCACAAATGGTGGAGATGCTTGTTGACTGTGTTAGAAATCCTGCATTCCTGGATTGGGAAGTTACCGAACAGGTCTTTCTCTTCTCTGTCATCTTGGTGTTTCCTTGAAACGGCTATCAAACTATTTTTGTGAGAATAATATTCTCCTTTGCAGCTTGAGAAGGTTAAAGCTGAGATTAGTGAGTACTCCAAAAATCCTCAACACTTGCTTTTGGAGGCAGTTCACTCTGCCGGTTACGCTGGTCCATACGGGAATTCTCTGATGGCCACAGAAGCTACAATAAACAGGTTGAATAGCACAGTGCTGGAGGAGTTTGTAGCTGTGAGTGTTAAAACCCAGATCTCCTTCCGCTGAACATCCTGTATCCACTTTTTATCGCGTACTTTTGCGGAGAATGTTTCTTTTTTAAACTGGTTTTCCTTCTTACAGGAGAATTATACTGCTCCTCGGATGGTTCTTGCTGCATCTGGTGTTGAACATGGAGAATTGTTAAAAATTGCAGAACCTCTTCTGTCTGATTTACCTAAGGTGGCTACTTCTGAGGTGCCGAAACCTGTGTATGTCGGAGGAGATTACCGCCGTCAAGGTGATGCAGAGGTGTGTCTCTGATATGTCTCTTTTATTCCCTCTCTCTCTCTCCCTCCCTCTCTCTCTCTCTCCCCTCCCTCTTTACATACGTGTTGAGTTATGTGTCTAACATTTTCCTATGCCCCCTCTGACCCCAGATGACCCATTTTGCCCTTGCTTTTGAAGTTCCTGGTGGCTGGATGTCTGAAAAGGAGTCAATGACTTTAACAGTTCTTCAGGTACTTAAGTTTCAATTAAACTGTTGACTCTTTACTGTTTGGATTGCAAGATTTTCGTTTAGTTTGTTTGTGGAGTCTTGTCATATTTTGGTAATATTCAGTTTGTTTAGAGGTGTCAGTCAAAGTGGTATTGTTTTTTAACAGTTGGTTTATTGACCCTTTAAGGAGTAGGATTGGTCATTAGAGCTTATAAATAACATTCTAATGCTAACAAGATAATATCTGATTCAACATTTTTTTGCTTCTTAAGATTGAGTAATGCAATTCCAGCCGTAAACCAAGAAGAGATTCCTTTTTTTTTCTCCCCTTCCTTTAATTTCCATTGAGTTTCTAGTATCTTCTAAGCTTAAATCTTATCAAGTCATACCCATTTGTAAAATCCCCCTTAGCACAACAACCACCTCTCATTTCGTGCTATTTTACTTTCAGCCCTATAAAATGCGGCTTATCTTTTCCTTATCGATTACTGGCGGAAAACTTCACGTATATTTGAAATCTATTAATATACTCTCATAAATTTCGACAAACTTGTAGGGAATGTATTCATGAATGTCTCCATTCATCAATCTGAAAAAGAGAATTTATGCTCATATGTTAGTCTGTGCTTGGAAGAAGATTACTTGGTATTACACATTTAATCAGGAACTAAGGAATTTAATTAGTTACATGTATAATGAATTAGAAGATTAGAAAAACTTGCTTTTTTTATGCTTTGATAGTTTAGAACATTGACAAGAGGGGTTGCTCTGATGGTAAGCAACCTCCACTTCCAACCAAGAGGTTGTGAGTTCGAGTCTCCCCAAGAGCAAGGTGGGAAGTTCTTGGAGGGAAGGATGCCGAGGGTCTATTGGAAACAACCTCTCTATCCAGGGTAAGGGTAAGGTCTGCGTACACACTACCCTCCCCAGACCCCACTAAGTGGGATTATATTGGGTTGTTGTTATTATTGTTGTTGATAGTTTAGAACATTCCTCTGATTTTGCTGTCTGATTTTCCTTGTTTGTCTGTGGTGGGATGTGGTTTTGGAGTGGAAATATTAATTTTGAGGATTTAACAGATGCTTATGGGAGGAGGTGGATCTTTCTCAGCTGGAGGTCCTGGAAAAGGGATGTACTCAAGATTATGTAAGCTTTTATCATATATTTTACTTTTCTTGTATAATTTCAATATTTCATAAATGATAGCTCCAATAAGGGTCTATCGGAAACAACCACTCTTCCTTCATATGGTAGAGGTAATGTCTGCGTAGATACTACCCTCCCTAGACCCCAATAAGGCTCTTCAAAACTTGAAATACATATCATACAGCTTCAAGCTATCCAAAAGTTCTGCCCAAATGAAAGAGCTCTTTCAAGCTCCAGATTGACTTCTCGATGCTCTCAAAAGCCCCCCAATTTTTGTGTTCCTATCGACTGAAAACACAGAGTAGATTCACTTAGATAGCGTTTGGACCTAGATTTGATTGAAACTTGAAAACAGAGTTTTTTGAAGTTGCGTTGACAAATAATTTTTGAAAGTTGAAGTTATGTTTGGACATGCATTTTATTTGAAGAAAAGTTGAAGTTTTGTGAGTGGAAAAAAAATTAACGTAAAAACTGGTTTGAAATTTTTTGATTTTTTTTCTTTCTAAAACATGATCATATTTCATAAACAAACAATGATTTCAATTTTTATTTTTGAAAAAATGAAGCCAAAATCTATGGCCAAACGGGAGCTTAATCACTTCCAAGTTTTCTTTCTACTTCGTCCAAATACAACCAGATCGAAGTTAACATGCTGCTGTATGCAATTTGTGGCTTCTATGGAACTAAAAAATGTACACTTTGTCCAAAGACAACCCTGTAATCTTCGTCAATCATAATGTTCACCTTATATTGGCAGACGATTGACGACTTGGATTTTGGCACTGCTGATTTCACCAAAACTTCTTTTTTGGGATCATTGAGAGCCTTTCAGTTCGACGGCCATCTTCAGCTCTATATTCAACTTTTTGAAGACACCAACATTCCTGGCTACTTCTCCGTAGTCCCATCATGATTTAGAGAAGATCTCATTCTCTGAGTTCCATCCCTTTTTTGCCTTTTCAATTCAGTTTTCTGGCCTTTCTTTGGTGCTACTGTTGTCGTCTTCCCCTTGTTGTCCTTCCATTCTTTAGTTTTTTTCTCTCAAAAGAGATGTCAAGTAATTTCCCGAACATAACCCAGACCGAGTGATGAATCTCTGCATCAATTGCAAGCGAGTCTCAATTCACAAGTCTCCCTTTGATTGCAAGTTGTTCACAGTTCACTCTAAATGTCGCTGTCAACTGAGCAACAATGTCCTCTTGAATACTTATAAGAAAAATATAAAATAAAATACTGTCCTCATAAGCACACCTGCATTAGGTAGGGGTAAGGTCTGCGTACAAACTACCCTCCCTAGACCCCACCTGTTGGGATCAAATTGGGTTTGTTGTTGTTGTTACTGTCCTCATAAGCACTATCGTGTAGGCCAGGTGACATTGCTGCAACTCCTTTTTGTCCTCTAGCGGCAGAATTGTTGGCCTTTCTTTGGTGCTACTGTTATCGTCTTCCCCCTATTGTCCTTCCCATCCCTTCGTTTTTTTCCTCATAAACTTCAAAAGAGATGTCAAGAAATTCCCGAACATTTTCTGAACCCAGTCCGAGTGATGAATCTCTGCATCAATTGCAAGTTAGTCTCAATTCACAAGTCTCCCTTCTATTGCAAGTGGTCCGTAGTTCATACTAAATGTTGCTGTCAACTGAGCAACAATGTACTTATAAAAAATTATCAAATAAANCAACCCACATCCTCCATCAATTCATTGTCATTGTGTTTATTTTGGCTGGTTCCTTCTGTCAAGATACCACTGCAACATGGTTCCTCAAAAGTTTCTGAGACCGACACCTCAAAGGTGGCATCGTCTCCCTTGTTTACACTATTGTGTTTGTCCATCTTTAAAATTGTCAGAAAGATGGATTGGGACTCCATTGTGTCTTCTTCTTATGGAGTCTTGTCGACATAGTCTGTGCTGTTTCCATAGACAAGCGTGTTTCCATTTGCTTAAACAAAGGATGCATATCCAATAGGCAATCACAAGTTGTTAAATTATACTCAATTGTTTGGCAATATTTTGATAATCAGATGGATATATACTGGTTTACTATTCTGCCCAAAAATTGAGAGTTGTATTTTTACTCGCCTAGTGATGGAAATGTGATTTTCTCCTAATTTTCATATTCACGTGCTTATTTGATTTTTCCACAATGATGAGCAGATCTTCGTGTCTTGAATCAGTACCCTCAGATTCAAGCATTCTCTGCATTCAGCAGCATTTATAATGACACCGGATTATTTGGAATTCAAGCAACTACGGTAAACACCTATGTAGATGCTCTCATTATTGCTTATCTATCCCGATCTTTGTTTCATGCAAAGATGCAATGCTGTCAATTCCTATGCATTCTTCATAGTAAATGTTTAATCTGGTAATTTAAGGTTGTTTCTCTCTCTTAGACATCAATTTCATTCAGATCCTTTTCCTTCTTTTCCCCTCCTAGCTTTCAGGATAGGGTAGTATTTTCATTTGAATTATGTCGTCATTATGTGTGACTTGATATTTCCAGGTCTTAATGTGACTAACTACATTCTATGCCCAATACATATCTGTGTTGCTAGGTTCTGTCTCTTTAATTTGACCAACTACATCCAGTGTCTAGTACATGTTGACGGGCGAAAAGAGGTTTTTTCTTTCGAAAGTTCATTTTTCTTGTCAAGAGTCTCTTTTTGGTTTATTTACCAAACAATACTTTTTATTTAAGTTCCAGTTTTCTCTACCAAAAGCGACATGAACCACTTGAGACTGTTCTGCGAGAAATGTTTCTTCACGATTAATAAGAAACCGTCAACTGAAAATGTAGGTTAGGGGTCTAGATTGCTGAAAATCAGTCTTCGGAGTGAACATTGTGCCTCTGGTCTAAATTGTCTTTTAAGTGTGAGCTAACTAGAAGTGCGTTTGAGACACTGGATATAGAAGTGTCATGGTCTTACACCAGGAATGCGCAGGCATAGGGTTTTCCAAACTATGTTCATATTACCCAAAAGTGCAGATATTGACAGGGTTATCCTTCATAGCTGTTTTATTGCTATCAGGTAGCTGTTTCCTCCACGATTTAACTGGACCATACTGCACACATAAATTTTGTTTTGTGAAAATGAATTGAACCCTTGATTCTCTATTGTTTTGCTATGTGGGTGACTTGGTGATTCATGTTATGTTACTTCTGCATGAAATAGTGACTTCTAAACTGTAAATCTTTCTTTCTTTTGGGTGTTTGTGTTATCAGACCTCTGATTTTGGGCCACAAGCTGTTGATTTAGCAGTTAAGGAGCTTATCGCAATAGCAAACCCTGGAGAAGGTTTGAATTATAATTCTGAACTTTTACTTTGCTTTCCCTGAATCTCTGTTAAGTTTTCTACCTAATTTTCTTACCTCTGAGAGGAAGGATTGTACTTCTTTCAAGTTAAAGAACTCTACTGATGTATCAATGCATTTATTCCATCTCCATTTTCCTGTTACTGATTGTTATTTGGTGGCCTTTGCTTCTACTCGTTTCATGCAGTTGATCAGGTACAGCTAGACCGAGCTAAACAGTCAACAAAGTCTGCCATTCTGATGAATTTGGAATCTCGGGTATGTAACACTAGCACAGACTCCTAGATTGCTTTGGCTTGTATTTGCAGGACGTATTGTTGTAAAATATATGTGCTTACTGCTGATGTCTGACTTGTAGATGGTTGCATCAGAAGATATTGGCAGACAACTTTTGACATATGGAGAGAGGTAAACACTTGTTTCTAATGTTTACTTTGCTGACTTAATTATTTAAAGAAATTTGCTGTTTTGGATCGAGTTCTCTTGAAGTCTTTTTGCAGTTGTCAATGTTATGTTATGTTGAATCTGAGAAACTGATGCTGCCTAATAAATAGATTGGACGGTGTACCTTGATCCTTCCATTGAACAGGCTAAGCAAAAAATCTCCCATCCCATTATATCCCTTTCAAGAAAATCTGAGGGAACTTGTTTGTTTTCTATATATTGAAAAATTCAACATCCATACAGAGAGCCATTTTTCCTTGGGTTGGGAGGTTTTCAGATGGCCTGATTATTTATTATTATAATCAAAGATGAGTTGTGTTTGACTGTAAGAGACCAAAATGATTACTAGTTTTATTTAGTTTGTTACCAAGATAAGATTTAATGTATTCCTCCCCTCGTCCCAAAAATGATTTTTTTGAGAGATATAGACCAACTTTCTTTCTATGCGCATCCAATGAAGCGACTTCTGTAAAGTGAGACGTAGAAATTTCATGTATCATTTTGAGTAGGATGTGAAGTACTTAGGTTTTTTCACTTTCCGTTATATTTTTTCTCCCCGTGATCTATGATCATTGCACCTCTCACCCAATTGTTTAGTGGAAATCGACGAGAGTTAGTACTTAAGTTTTTCTATGCCTATTGCTTCTGGATCCTCAGGAAACCAGTGGAGCATTTCTTGAAAGCTATTGATGCAGTTTCAGCAAAGGATATTGCTTCCGTTGCACAGAAGCTAATTTCGTCGCCTCTGACCATGGCATCCTACGGAGATGGTAAATCCTTTTTCAGTTATTAGTTTTCTTTGAATCTTTGAAGGGAGCCTTGGCGTAACTGGTAAAGTTGCTGCCATGTGACTAGGAGGTCACGGGTTCGAGCCGTGGAAACAGCCTCTTGCAGAAATGCAGGGTAAGGCTGCGTAGGACCCCTGTGGTCCGGCCCTTCGCCGGACCCCGCGCATAGCGGGAGCTAGTGCACCGGGCTGCCCTTTAGTTTTCTTTGAATCTTTATTTGATCCTTTTTCTCCTTTGGTTTGCTCATTTTACTTCAAAATCGCAGTTCTTTCCCTCCCGAGTTACGATGCAGTCAGCAACAGGTTCCATTCCAAATAAAACATTTTCAACTACAAAGTACGATCAAGATTTTCGTGCTATTATTTTTTTAGCTATTTCTAAATTTTAGCGTGCGGCGGTAATTTGTGAAAAATAAAGGAGGTTACATACTATAGATAAATCAGCTCTGTCAAGCTTTGATAAGCAGCATTTTGGCACATGATTTTTGTGTATAAAGTAAGTAATTTATTCAGCTTTCTTCAGTGTTTGACTACATGATATTAGAGATATTACTGCTGCATGTTTTGAAATGCTAACAAGGATTCATAGTATCTCATTTTTGGATATAGAATTCTAGACAACAAAGGGTGTAGCATTATATGTTCGGACTAATTATATGGTTGCACTCATTTCACCTTTGAATTTATATAATATACTATATCATTTTTACATATAGAATTATAAATTACCAAATATAAGAATTCTATTAAAGCCATCTCTTTAAAGATTATTAAACTAATTTTCTTAAATAAGAAAAGTAAACCATCATGTCACGTTTAATATAAAAGACGACAAATAGTATGATCCNGGGGGGGGAATTGCATACGAGAACTACAATAATATACCACCTGTATAAAGATAACAACTTAGTATAACAACAAGAATGGTATAACGCGGCGCGAATTCGGATATAGTCGGGTTACAATGTGGACACCGGATGGGAAACCAAGAAAAAAGAAAGAAGAAACAAAAATCTGAGAAGGTTCAGAAAAGATGCAATGTTTCGTTTTGACCCACGCAGGATTATAAAATAAGATACTGTTCTTATACTAATTGATCGACTGGTCAAAATAATTTTGGTGTCGCAAAATAAAGAGAAAAAATTAGTTGACATAGCCACTTTTAACCCCGACTATTAGAGTTTAACCTTTATTTAAAAAAGCTATTAGCATTTAGCCATTCCTTTCACACGGAAAAATATTTGGATAAAAGTACCCCTACCTAAAGCATGGAACAAGCAATCGTTGCTGGATTTCAGTGCTTTGACAAGTAGAATTCCAACATATTATAGTGGAGTTCGAAAATACCCTATAGGTGAAACCCCAATATCATATGCTAGAATTTAGAGGTTTTTTTATATTCTTTCTTTTAGATTTCACTTGTATTTTTTGTGTAAAGAAAAGAAAGTGTCAAATGGAATTTTTTGGTACCCTCTTGGTAACTTAATATTGAAATCACCTTATTACCCACCTTAGCTTTTAAGTATAGTGATAAAGATTTGGAACTGGACAGCAGAGTTCATTTACTAATATATAGATTATAATAAAAATATATTACTTAATAGTATTCATGTGAATGTTAGAAAAGAATTATACTCACGGATAAGAATACACGCACAACAAAGTAGTACTAACAAAGATAAAAATATCGAACAGCTATTTTATTTGAGTCTAGGACACAGTTTGAGGTGATGTGTTGAATGGATTGTGAACTAGGACACCAGATGTAACAATTTCATTATAAAATCTTCCTACTCCATACGGCAACAATAACAACAATAATAATAATAAGTATTCCTTTTTTTTTTTGGATTTATCTGTGTCATACTATACTTTTTTCTTTTAGCTCCGGGAATACAACTTCTGAACTAAGCTTCCGCTATGCGCGGGGTCCGGGGAGGGACGGACCACCAGGGTCTATCATACGCAGCCTTACCCTGCATTTATGCAAGATGTTATTTCCATGACTCGAACCTATGACCTCCTGATCACATGTCAACAACTTCTGAACATAAAGGTTAAACGTTATGCATTTACATGTCTGATAAACAACACGCCAATGAATGATGTCCACACATTTTCACAATTGGGCTTTGTTGCTGATCATCTGTTTCTCTTCCTAATTAGAAATGATACAACAAAGGTATTACTGTTTGCTAGTAGTGTGCTTAATCCTCTCTCAGAATAAGTCTGTATTCAAGCCCTTTCTTATGGGAAGAGTATAATTATGCAATATTTACAAATGAACACAGAAGTCATACTCTGTACATGTTTACACAATGTTGAAGGACTCTTCAACTGTTTTTTTCTATTCATAATCCCTTGATGTTCACTCTGAAGCACAGATTCAAAGATATAAGACTCTTTCTGACCTTATTTAAGCAGTGGTCTTCTGTACAAGGTAGCTGCTGCTGATGAGTTTGCGATTAGCAGGCACGTGCCTCGGTCAGTTGCCTGGTAACAGGTCCACAACCATCTGATACTTTCAAGGATGCAAAGAGGCAGGATAATCTAGCTATCATCGGCTGTGTTCTTGCTATTCGAGGCACAAGGGCCAGTTCCTTACCGCGACTATCATCAGAAGAACTATGATAGCCTTCGAGATCTGCTTTAGTGATCAATACAGCATCACCAGAGAGCGCAGAAGATGCCACTCTTTGCTGCTTGAATTCTTGAACAGCCTGTTTAACGTAGATATATTAACGTGCAGATAAATATCCTATGTTGCACCAGTGGAGCAGGTAATTAACTCAAAGATTCTTGTTTACCTTCCATTGAGAAGGAGCCAATAAAACTCGAGGTCTTCTGGAGCGGACGAATTCAAGGGCAGCACGAGGAGTCATGTGCTTATATTCCACCTAAATTAGTGAATGTATCAACCTTTTACACAATCCAAAGATCGCTAAAAGTTTTGGAAGTAAAATTACTCCCTCGGTCCCATTTTATGTGATGCTTTGAATAGACACGGGGTTTAAGAAAGAAGGAAAAACTCTAGAAACTTCTGGTCTAAAATAAGTCATAGATATTTGCGTGGCTATAAATCAGCTTATTAAGGGTAAAATGGGAAATTTAAAGTCAAGTTATTTCTTAATATAGAAAGGCATCGTTGATATATTAAGACAGAGGGAGTACTAAATTAGCTTGCCTGGAAAGCATTATCCACACAGAAAACAAATGGCTTTATATTAGGTAAAGGAACCTACCAAATAGCAAAGCACAACGGTTGTGCTCCTTCCCCTTCCGGCTTTGCAATGTACATACGTAGTCTGGCCAATGGACGCATTCCCTGCAACAGAGAAGCAAAGAAGTGAGGAAGGGCCACAGTATAACATAGAAGACATAAACGACAATCACTCACTGTGAATAAAATCTACTGCTCGATTTATATCCACGAAAGAGGGTGCAAAAAGATAATCTCTGGTAGGAATAACGAGATGGTCTATCCCATGGGCCTGAAATCACAGAGGTAAAGAGATGTAAATACACCTAAAGAAATAAAACTATGAATAATGACAACTCTTTTGACTTTTTCCCTCAACAAAGCAAGTCCTCTACATGCTTCAACTGGAAACACATTTATGCGACCCATTATCAACTATACCAAATTAAGTTGGAAAAGAAAGAATCAAACAAATTGCAAAGGTTATCATTGAATTTCTCGGAGATGTCGACCTCTACAGTGCAATGTAGGTTCAGGAATGGGAGGAAGGAAAGAAGCTGCTTCATCTCTTTGTGTAACACAACAAGAAGGTGGTGGAACCCTCGGTGGATACTGGGATATCAGAAGAGAGAAACACTTACTGATTGATACTGAACGAGATCAGAAAAGCCTCAAGGATAGAAATTCTTACTATCTACCAATAGAGGATGCATCTAAATGTCATTATGGATATTCAGAGCAACTCCCTGAAGATTGTATCGTGTCATTGGCAACAAAGAATGCTTCTTTTTTGGGGCAAATAACACAATACTAACTTCAGACTTCAGACTAAAAACAAAAAATGATAACTTGCAATATGCACACACAAACTATAACAAAAATGCTCCATAGCAATTCATAACTGAGCTATATAAGAAACGAACCCTAGCCTTAAAGCTTAAAGGACAAAGTACCAGTTATATAAGGAGTATCGATAGCTATCCAATTAAAGATACTTGATTACAAATTACAATAATCAAATACAGAAAAATGGATGATATTCTATAGAGATATCACTCACATGGTACAATGATGATGGTACCAAAGTTTCATAAGGTTCATTCAGTGTTATTACACCACCAACGCCAAGCTGCTTCAACCGAGGGACATCCGAGGGAAATGGAACTGCTCCAAGGAGGAGAAACTGGATAAACCAAGAAACAAAGTCACAAATGCATACAACCTTAACATACTAAGCTTAGTATATTCTTTTTTGGGGGGTCGGGAGCAGGGGGAGGCAACGTCCTTACTTCTTCAGAGTTGCGAAGGGCAAACAACTAAAAACTAGGAAGAGACATTCAGCATGACTTGTCATATTACAAGCTTCAACAGTCTTATTACACATTAAACTTCTCGTTTAATTTTTAATGAGAAACTTTTAAAGTCAAACAAATGTTACGTTTAAGACCACAAACTTCAGAAGTCTTACTACACATTAAACTTTTCATTTTATCCTAAATGAGAAGCTTTTATAGTCACACAAATATTATGTTTAAAGCCTTAATACACATTAAACTTCTCATTTTTATCCTTAATGAGAACTATTTTTAGACACCAATATTAAGTTTAAGACCTTCCATATTAAACTTTTCATTGTACTCTTAATGAGAAGTATTTATAGTTATACAAATATTATGTTTAAAACTGACCACAAGCTTCAAAAGCCTTACAGCCTCACAAATGTTAACGACATATCTAAAACCACAAGTTTATTTCAAAAAGTATTCCTTTTTTTCTTAAATCCTGTTTGCAAGAGTCAACCTATGTCATATAGATTATCTCACTCTGTTCCATTTTAAGTGATGGACTTTTTGTTTATCTGTACCAACTTGAATGATACTACCTTCGTCTCGAATTATATGTAGTGTTTCTCTTTTATGCACCCTTTAAGAAACATTAATGAGGGGTTTTAGACTGTTTTATCCTTATTTATGGTCTTAAGCTATGATCTCTCTTCGTTCAATAGCAGTTACTATTAAGGGTAAAATAGGAAAAATATAATTTATTTTACATTTAACTTCTAAAATGACAAATAATTTATGATTAACTATTTCTAGAAATCACAGATATATAGTTTGAGATGGGGAGTAACTCACAAGATAACATATTTAAAATCATAAGTTTCAACTTTTTAGTTTTTTCTTAAACTCTGTGCAGAGCAAACTATGTCACATATATTGTAACGAAGCGCAGGAAGAAGTTAAACCTGATCAATTTGATCCCACCATCTGAACTCCGATTGAATTTTGTTGCGGAAAACATTGTATAAAAGGGTCGGGTAAAAAAGGATCCGAGCCCCGGCTCCGACCAACGCTCTTTTAGCATCAACACCAACAACAATCAACCGTTTCTCAGTATTTACACAATTGCCATCACTTTCCATTAACGACTCATCCAAATCCACTATCTTCATTTCCACTAATAAACTGATCAGAACAGCTAAAGATCAAACACTAAATTGATCCAATCGAAAACTTGTGGGGTAATTTGGTGATTATTGGAAATAGAGGACTCGATAAGAGAGAGTTGTACGGATCATTGATCGTGTTTTTTGAGAAGAAAAAGGATCAAAGAGCAGGCGATAGTCAAAAGTGTGGAAAAGAAGAGACAGTGGAAAAATTGATAATTTAGGCCTGGAATTAAGGATATTTACAGAAATAGACAGATTAGGAACTGTCACGTGACTTGCATGTGACTATGAGGAATTGACAAGTAGATAGATAAGAGAAGTAAAATTAATTTTTAAGAGAATTAAGAATAATATCCTTATTATCAAGAGTAATTTTATTTTGTGTCTCACACAACTTACATTAGTTGTGTGAGGGCTCTTTGTGTAAGTTGTGTGAGGGCTCTTTTTATCTCACATATTTGTGGACTCATATCTTACACATCTGGGTCCACAAAATTCTGGGACCACACAGTTGTGAGACAAAAAAAAGGCCTCACACAACTATTGTCGGTTGTGTGAGGCGCAAAATAAAATTTTTCTTATTATCATGAGAAACTTGCGGCCATTATTTGTGGCCAATGGGTCAAGTCAAAGTCTTGGAACACCTTGGTTTGTGTGTAGACCGAAATGGTCTCGCGAAGCCGGTCAACGGTAGCCTAAGATAAAGTCAAAATTATGAGAAGGGTGCGAGAAGTTTTGTGCAAGATGAGGTCGCTTTGCTTCGTAGACAAAGCTCGTTCCGTACTTTACTTACGATGGAGCTGCACAGGGTAGTTCCAGTAAGAGAGAAAGTTTAATTGATAAGGGCATTCTTTGAATGGAGGAATTGCTTTGGGAAGATCTTCCAATCTTTTTACAATTACAGTTCAATACGCCGACTCCTTTAAAGGCCGGCGGTCTCGAGTTAACTTTTTGTTAAATTTTGGGATTTTAATAAAAATCGAAGTTTTATTAGTTGGAATTGATTTTTATAATTTTATTGACTTATTTATGAGTTGTTAATAGGGCAAGAAAAAAGATCAAATTCATTAGTATTTTTTCATTATAAGTAGTTAATAGGAGAATAGGAAAAATTAAATTCATTTGTATTGACCGCAAGATATGCATATCATGTTATTCTATTACACATGTTCTTTTAGTTATTTCTTTCAGATCACACGAATCAATTAGTATAAATTTTTAAAACTTAAATAAATATTATTATAATATGTGTGTGATGTATGAAATAAAATATAAATTTGAGTTCAAGTTGGAAAAGAAGAAGCTTTTGGGCCTAAATGGCCTAAACTGTTGTCAGATTAGCTCAATACATAGTACAAAAATGAAAGGAAAAATAACGTTGTATAATCGCTCTTAAAATAATAGTCGAAAAATATATTTTTTGTATATATTTATATTTTTGTATGTTATATACAAAAAATATATAAATTTTATACATTTTTTCAGCTACCAATAAGCCGTGGGCTAAAAGCGAGGTTTGCCAAATAAATTGTTAGCGGGTTACAACTTACATTGTCGGGCACAACAAACTTACAAACGGATCTTGACACTTGATGGAGCATTACATACATCTGAAGACAACGAGAACAAAAACAAAAATAATCATAATAGTTGAAAACAATGAGTAGCTCAATTTTCAAATATAAATCAAAATATTAAAGCATGTACATAATTAATCTTAAGGGGGTCAGTAAAATATCATCCCATATATTTGGGTCAACCTAATATGCAGATATCAAAACTTTAGATAAATATCTCTACAAACAAAACAATGGAAAAGCGAAATCGGAAATAAAAGACTTTTTTTTGCCAAATGTACATAGGCTCTTCTTATTTGTTTATTATTTCAATTTCGCCTAAGAAGTTAGACGTATATCTTCGCTTGCTAGAAAGAGAACGAATTTATTTGTAGACCGGGACTTCAATCACTCACCAGCTCCCCTATAATTAGATCACCAACTTCCTTAATCTTTCGACATTGGACAATGTCAACCTAGATATATGAAATTTCTTGCTTCTAATAATATTATGAAAATTTCTAATGATAATAATTCATATTAGGTTGACAACCTCTGAAAAAAGAAATAATCAAAAATAAAAGGGGTGGAGTGGAGGAATACAGCATTAGGAGACAAGAGAGCACAACCAGCTTGAAAATTATGATGAATATATTAAAAGAATGAACAAATCTTAAGGAACAAATCAATAATTTGTTTATACATGTTTATATCTGTAATAAAAAAAAAATATACAAAATCAACATGGCCGAAAAGTGACCAAAAAAAAGAAAAGAGAAGAGTAACCCCAAACTATAACAGAAACCAGTCACCTTAAGAACCTGAGCCTGCAAAAGGAGAGTTGATTTCCAAAGAGGATTATAAAAAACAAAGAATGTTTTCTTTCTGAAAAAGAATAATAAATATATAGTATGTGTTGTAAATTATGTTGTTCGGATCCTCCAAACTGCTGTCAGGTATGTCCAAGATCCTCCAAAAGTAATGCCTCTTTTGAGGATTCGACATGCGTGTAGCGACATTTTGAAGGATCGAAGCAACATAGGTTAAAAATCAGCTATAGGGAGAAAAAGGGTATCTTTCATGCTCAAACCAGGGTATTTTTTTGGTCATCACTGCAAGTGAATAAAAGAATATATAGTAGGGTTGAGTCGAGGGTTTATCGGAAACAGTCTCTCTACCTTCACAAGATAGGGGTAAGGCTGCGTATACACTACCCTCCCCAAACCCCACTCGTGGGATTACAACGGGGTTGTTGTTGTTGTTGTTGTTGTTGTATAGTAGGGAGAGCTTTGTTATCCAAGTTTTAGAAGTATGATTCTTGATCATCATGGCAAAGTTCCTTCCTAAGTTTTCGAGAGAAAAGCCTACAAGCATCCATACTAAGATCAATGGCAGCCGAAAGCGAGATAAATAAAGCAGCATCAGCCATAGATTTAACATGTTGCACCCCAACTTGAATCGTCGGAACACTAGTCTTGCCTTCACCTTCCACAGTTGACACCATCACAAATCCGCGAATTGGCGAATTTGAGCTCAGTACAGAGTCTTTTACTGTATTGTCAATGCAAAATTGTCCACCTTTTTTCATGCTCATTGTGCCTTCAGCTATTGGTATAGCAGCACTAGTAAGGCCAGTATCAGTAACAAGTTCAAATTTGTAACCAAGTCCATCAACTGGTCCTCTTTCTCTCCACGCCTCGAGTCGACCCCATGGCTTCCAGCTACTAACAGAGGCGCCATTAGGCCGCAGGATGAGCCATGCACCGGCGTTTGATCGCGAAACACGATCAGAACCCGGAGATGGTACAAATGGTGTGATCATTGATGCTGCTGCAACAGCAGATCCTGAAAGGTCATAGATTATTATCATCCACCCTTTTCTTTCCCTTCCTGTTCTGTCCTTTTCTCCAGAAAATGTCCTCATCCAACCTCTATTGTTTAAGTTAAAATCAGATGGGAGAGATCTGTACAGACACAAATGAGGGAAAACATCAGCTTAGGGACCACTTATGAACAAAATAAATAACTAGAACAATAAATTTAAGAGTTTAATTTCTGCGCAACAACAGAGTGAAAAAAAGGGTAGCCCGGTGCGCGAAGCATCCCGCGTTAACGCATCAATAGATGATTCCATGGCTCACGCGGAAATAACTGAGTGGCAGTGAATAATTTCTTTATTCCATTAGATTAAGATGACAATATGACATGTAACAACAGGTAGGAGCGGAGCTACAACTGATGATGGCAGAGGCAAACTCAGGCTTTGAAGGTGGCGGGGCACATGAGTAGACTGCTCAACCAGTGCCCCATCAAACTTTTGATCATAAGGCTTCTAAGCAAAATATATGAGTGTTTTCAACATATAAATACATATATACCCATAATTTGGGCTGAGGTTAACAGGATTAGGTGACCACTCTACTGCATAGACGAAGGATGTTCACTATTTCTGTATTCCATCAGATTAAGATGGCATTTAACAACAGACAGAGACAGAGCTACAGTCTATGAAAGATGGTCAGTTGAACGGTCAAATATTACTCTTTAGTTTTTACATATATATTAAATCTTTGATACCTTTTATGAAATTCTTGGCTTTGCAATTGATACAACAGGCGACTAGACAGTAAGGTAGGTAACTTGTTACTTATAACAGGTTAAAATACATTGATAGTAATTTTTTTTTATAAAAAATGTCAGTCTATATAATAAATCCATAAATTGATGCTAAAATAAATGGTGGATCCGAACTAAACAGATAGTCAAAGAAGAATATTAACCAGTTGATAAAGAATTTGGAACCAAATCTTTACACATGGGAAGGGAATCAATGGTAGTTGCCAATAACAGTTGATGCAGGTTAACTTTTGTCTGTTGATTAAACTAAATCTGCTGACTGTGAATTATCTAATCTCTATTCCAAAACTTAATAAAAAGTTAATTGGTTGGACCGACAATGTGCTCTATAATATAAGGGAATAAAATCCTAAGATATCTTTAATCAACTTTATAATATTTCTACATGCCAAGGGTCAAGACAAAACCTAATAAAGAATTGTCCATTAATAATAACATAATTAAGCAAGTGATTAGTAAATGAGATGATTAATATAGCAAACAGTTGTACAAACGACAAGAGGAAGTCATGGTGTAGATCTAATTGGTATAAGCCTCACCAAAATAAAAAAATAAAAACTATACAGTACAATTTCAACAAACAGTTTAAGTGATTAACTTCTATACACTGCACAAAAACAATAACATACACTATATAGTCGTACAAGTGGAGTCTGAGGAGAGTAATGTGTATGCAGACTTTACCCCTACCTCATAAAAATGGAGAGACTATTTCGGATAGACTCTCAGCTCAAAATAAGTATAATTTCTATATACTGACATTATAAAAAATGTTAAACTATAGATAAATGCAGGTAACTAACTATTTTAAGTAACTTCTCAAAATACTATCATCAAATTATAGGTATTAAGGTAAAATATGCACTGCATTTATTATTTTGGGACATGCAAAGTTTTTTGAGGACAAGTAAAAATAAATGGATGAAGTAATTTTTATACACATAATTTTTACTTTATAAATGACCTAATTATAAAATATTTTTACACTAGTAAGTAGAACTTAAACTCTAATACTACAAGTAAGAGAAAGTAAGGAGTTTAACTAGATTGAGTAAAAGACCTTTTCATTATCACATCAATTAAAGATAAACGGCATATAACTGTTCATAATATGTGAAATTAGTAACGTGAAAATGATTAACTTATAACTGGCAATAAGAAACGAAAAATATTACACTAGAATACTTTAACGTATTATAACAAGTAATCTGCCTTATTTTCAGGTTAATTTTCACTTTCTAACAATTGTAATTATTTTTCAAGTATCTTAAGCCCCTAAAAAATAAATATAAAAATTCTTTAATACTATAAGTTAAGTTAAATCCAGCAAAAAGTGCGTAGTGTTGAAACGAAGACTTACCGTGAACGATTATTCCGATCAGCACTAAACTTGCAGCTAAAAACCGGCTGACTTCTATTCCCCTGAACCTGAAAAACCACCGGGCTACACTCCGGTTCACCACCAAACTGAAAGACAAACCGCGGGTCCGGTTCAGCTCGAACCACCAAATGCAACATTGCCCCCGGTTTTTCTCCCGCAGCTAACTTCATCCACCCGTTCTGGAACACACGCGCCTCCGAATTGGTCCCACTCAAATCAATACTCACCTGAACAGAACCAATCAACTTCCCCGAACTAACCCCGCACGTGTGACCCATACGTCCAGTAAAAACAGACACGTGTAAAGTAACTGGTTTGGCAGACAGACGGCGGAGAGCGACGGCGTCGAGGTGGAAACCGGCGGCGACGGCGGAGGAGTCTGGGGGAGTGGGGTCAGTGGATGCGGGGGAGAGGGGCAGAACGGTAATTTGGGAAGGGAAGCTTTTGAGCTTGAGTTTTGCGTAACTGGGAGTTGTGGATGGGTGGATTGCGTGATGACCAGATGGTTTTGTTGCTGCTAATGGCAGTTTAAGAGCTAATGATTCGATTATTAAACGAACAAAAGGAGATGGATCCATTGTAATTAACTTGTTTTCTTGTTTAATTTTGTTTCTTTGGTTTGGTGAACAGAAGTTTGAGGAGAGGAATGGATGAAAATGGCAATAGTAGTATGGAGCTTGGGAAACATTTATAATTTCTGCAGTGGATGCATGTAAAGTTATATATTTGCTAACACCCCCCCCCCCCCCCCCACTCTCACCCCTGGCTTCTTGTTGTATCTAAATTTTTTCTTTAATTTTTAAGTTAAGTTGATTAAAATTATTTGTAATCGTATATATCGTCTACTATTAGCCACGATATGATTTTCATATGACAACGTACTCTACTTGGGTCGTTTGGTATGATTGACAAACAAAAATAATTCTAGGATAAAAATTTATAATTATCTTATTTTTATTTGGTTACTAATTCTAAAGTTGACAATCCCAGGATTTATACAACATACTAAATAGTTAATACTAAGAAATAATACTCGGATAATTAATCACAACATAACTTAACTCAGTATAATTAATTTTATTATAATTAATCTCAGTATGACATATTTTCAGACCAAACGACCCCTTACGGTACTATTAACAAGTCTCAAACTTTTGTTTTATTATACCCCCTCTGTTTAATTTGAATTATGCGAAACTTATTTAACTGAGTTTGAGTTTCAATATGTCAATAATATTTACGTGGTTATAAAATTTTAGAAATTTGGAGTATTTACTATAAAATGCAAAGTTTAAATATTATTTTTAAATTTAAAAAAAGATTATTCTTTTCTGAACATACAAAAATTCGGTCATATAAGTTGGAATTGATGAAGTTATATTTTTAATATTTTTAAAGTGATTGATTAGTATTTTTGTGGTAAATATTTACTTGCACCCAGTAGTTACATCAAATATTATAAAGTGATAGAAGTTTATACTGCAAATGCCTTCATGTATTTAATTAGCCAAAGTTATAGAGCTTAATTGAACTTTCAGACTCCAAAAATAACATGTCTTGATTTCACTTTATTTATCTTTGCTTGTATTTAACCGGAATAATCTTGGAAAATATTGACCATTAATTTTAAATTTTGATTGCAGCAGCTTCTAGTTATAATATAAAGTACATATTAGAAATTGAGCACCAAACGAATCGGTGCATTATGAGGATCATGAATATTTTTCCTATAATACCAATAATTAAAAGTAAATTAATGTTTTCTCAACCAATATAAGCTTATTTAAGATACAATAATTAAAATTGAATGTGTTATTAGAGATTCTTCCAAATTTAATGATTATATAGCAACTGCGCAAGTATCTAGTGAATATATGGAATATTTCTTCATAGGCATTTGATTTTTGACTAAATAATTTATCCCCTCAAATTAATAATGGCTAATGATTAATTTTCTCTAAAGTCTCAACGATTCTCCACCTAAAAAAACAGTTGGTAAACATAGAATTAGGATATTGGGCATTATTTTAAAAATGCACAGCAGTTCAATCATTATTTTTGCACAAAAAACTTAATGACATTTGAATAACTCAGTGCACAAATTTTCCTTAGTCGTACAAGAACAATATATGAAGATGTTTGTACTCAAGTACTTACTAAGTACTAATCCTTAATTTCTTATACCTTAAGCTTAGGGGTCTAATTATATTATCTTAAACTTAAAGATCTAATTGGCATTTGAATAATTCATAGAGTGGCCATGAATACCATATGACCATAATTGTGGCGGCATTAAATAATATTACATTTGAAAAAAGAATTGCTGAAGTTTAAAAACAATATATATATCTCCACTTAAAATTTAATATTAACTTATTGTCACGACCTTGGTTCGCCCTCCGTGAACCATCGTGACGGCACCTAGTCTCTACGACTAGGTAAGCCTAAGATGCGGAAGATAAACCAAATTTGCGGAAGAAAATAATTTAAAACAGAAATAGAGTAATACAACAACGTTTAAAAGTGCCGCTCGACATACACAATACTAACTCTTAAAACCAATACACTTTTCCAAAACCCGGAAACTCATGAATCACAAGCTACGAATATAATAAAAATGCTCTAACTCCGGAATATCTACATCAACAGAAGAAAATAGAAGGACTATCACTATAAGATAGAATGGAAAGGGACTCCTCGGTCTGCGAACGCGGCAGATATAGCTCGAAGTCTTTGGAACAGTCGCCTCGCCTCAAGGTGATAGGACTGAGTCAAAGTACCTGTATCTGCACATGAAAAACATGCGCAGAAAGGGCATGAGTACACCACAGCGGTACTCAGTAAGTGCCAAGCCTAACCTCGGTCGGGTAGTAACGAGGAAGGTCAGGGCCATACTGAGGTTAAATAAAATATAAGGTGTAACATTGTATAATAAGACAGTATAATTAAGTGCAACACTAAGAAATAACATAGAATAGAAAGAACAACAACAACTAGAACAGAGACAAAATAATCACGGAAAGGAAATACAACTCAACATAGAGATAACAACCGGGGTACCTTCCAGGATACCGTCCTGTAGTCCCAATTACATCTATCCAGTGGATCTCCCGGGATACCGTCCCGTAGTCCATCATATATATATATATATATCCGAAGGATCTCCCGAGATCTCGTCTCGTAGTCTAACTATCAGTGCGCGGGGATCTACCGGAATCCCGATCCGTAGTCCCAAATATAAATATCCAGTATTGGGGGAATCTACCGGGTGCAGTCTCGTAGTTCCATATAACCGTGCAAGGGGATCTACCGGAATCCCACATTCGTAGTCCCAATTAGATAGACAAGGGGGATCTACCGGAATCCCACATCCGTAGTCCCAATTAGATAGACAAGGGGGATCTACCGGAATCCCACATCCGTAGTCCCAATTAGATAGACAAGGGGGATCTACCGGAATCCCACATCCGTAGTCCCAATTAGATAGACAAGGGGGATCTACCGGAATCCCACATCCGTAGTCCCAATGTAAATATACATCAGCAACAGGAAAATATTCAGCAAATGTCAATTTTATATTAAGGCAAACAAGTAATTCTAGTCTAGCATGCTGCACAGAAATCAGGTAAAGCAGTTTGAGCAAATAAAGCAATTAAATCACTTAGACATGTTTTCCTACGCTAACAACAGGCTTAAAGTGCAAGTAATATAAACAGGGAAGGACACATACTAGTAATTACTTAATGAAAAAAGGATTTTCAACAATTAACACAAGTACGCACTCGTCACCTCACGTACAAGGCATTTCAATTAACAATAATACCAAATCCTAAGGGGAAGGTCCCCCACACAAGGTTAGGCAAGCCACTTACCTCGAACCGGTTCAAAATCAACTCGAAACCACGTTCTTGCCACGAGTACTCAACTCCAAATGGACCAAATCTATTCAATTCAATTTCATAATGTAAATAACATTTTAAGTAACCTATTCTACAAAGAAATTCTAAGCTAATACGCGAAATTAGGTAAAATGGCCAAAATTCCCCTCGGGCCCACGTCTCGGAATCAGGTAAAATTTACATTTCCAGAATCTTCACACTCTCACGAGTTCAGTCATACCAAATTACCAAAATCGGACCTCAAATGGTCTCTCATTTTATCATTCAAAGGTCTCTAATTAGTCAAACCCTAACCCCCAAATTTACCACTGATTTTCCTTAAATTTTCATGTTTATAATGATAAAATTCACCTCAATAACGAGTTTAGGTTCCAAGAATCTTACCTCCTCGAAGTTCCCTTGAATTCCCTCTCAAAAACCTCCCCAAAAGCTAACTTCCCGGATGAAAATGGTGAAAGAATAGCTCAAATTAGCGAAGGCAAATATTTATATGTTCTGCCCAGCAATCCCGCATCTGCGGTCCACCCATCGCATCTGCGATACCGCTTCTGCGGTTGGGGAACCACTTCTGCGGTTCTCACTTAAAGTTCCATCTCCGCACCTGCGACCCAGATGCTGCATCTGCGGTCCCGCAAGTGCGGTAATTCTATCGCTTCTGCGGTCCATGCTCAAATTCCTCTTAGCCGCTTCTGCGGCTCAACTCCACATCTGCGGCCTACCAAACGCAGATGCGGTTATGACAGCAGCCCAAAGACTTCAGCTGCAATTTCCAACTTTCCAACTTCCCGTTAACAGCCCGAAATTATCCCGAGGCCCCCGGGACCTCAACCAAAAGCACAAACAAGTCAATACCCCTGTCCAAACTTATACCAACACTTAAAACACCTAAAACAACATCGAAACGACGAATCAACTACGAATTCAAGCTTAAGAACTCCAAAACTCTATACGCTTTCGATCAAAAAGTTTATCAAACCTCGTCCGTGACCTGAAATTTTGCACACACGTCATATTCAACACTACGGAGCTACTCCAACTTCCGGAATTCCATTCCGACCCTCGGATCAAAATCTCACTATCGAACCAGAAACTTCAAAATTCAACCTTTTCGGTATTTCAAGCCTAAATTAGCTACAGACCTCCAAAATACAATACGAACATGCCCCTAAGCCCGAAATCACCCAACGGAGCTAATAGAACCATCTGAATTCCATTCCGAGGCCGTCTTCACACTATTCTGACTATGGTCAAATTTCCAACACTTAGCTCTCATTTAGGGCCTAAGTGTCCCAAAACTCTCCGAAACTCAAAATCGAACATCCCGGTAAATCAAAATAGTAGAAATAAATACGGAAAAAGCAGTTAATAGTGGATCGGGTTGTTAATTCTTAAGACGACCGGCCGGGTCATCACATCCTCCTACACTTAAACATCCGTTCGTCCTCGAAAGAGTCATAGAGACATACCTGAAATAGTGAAAAGATGAGGGTAATGCCTGCACATATCTTGCTCGGTCTCCTAGGTCGCCTCCTCGACCGGCTGACCCCGCCACTGAACCTTCACGGATGCAATGTTCTTTGACCTCAGCTTTCTAACCTGCCTGTCCAATATTTCCACTAGCTCCTCAATATAGGATAGATCCTTGTCCAACTGGACTGAACTAAAATCCAACACGTGCGACAGATCACCGGGATACCTCTAGAGCATCGAAACATGAAATACCGGATGGACTCCTGCCAAGCTGGGAGGTAAGACAAGCTCATAAGCAACCTCCC